CCCAAGCATCCTCACGCCTTTCTCTGTGCCCCCGTGTCTTTTTTTCCTGCTTTAGCCCCAAGGACACCCGGCTCACTAGGCGGGGGCCCTTCTGAGCCGAAATCCAGGACGCTAGAAGGCAATGAAGGCCTCCCTCTTGGGTTACTTTGGTGGACCAAACCCAGAGGAATCTGCCACATGGCTGGGGTGAATAAGATGAGTGAAAGGTGCGAGGGAAACCGCGGCAAGGCTGCGGCTACCACCAGGCAGCGGGCTCAGGGCAGAGACGAAGCAGAAGGGCTGCAACTGCTCAGTGGGCATGGCCTGTGGGGCCGGGACAGAGGGCCAGCCCGCCGCAGGTCAGTTCTCCTCCATGAGAGGAGGCCCCTCTGAGGTCCTAAGATCAACTTCAAGAGACCAGTGTAGAAACACCTGTGGATCAAATACTGCCTCAGGAGATGGCAAGGTCAAACACGAGCTGAGGGACAGAACAGGACCTGGGACGTCCACGTGGTTCGTAAGTGAGCTGTGAGGGGGCAGAGGCAGGTGCTGAGGCGTCACTGCCCCCGGGGGTCCCAGCGGTAGACGGACTACGCGGTGAGAAGTCACAACAGGTCTTGGAGCACCAAAGCGGGGCCGGGTGCTCTGCTCGCTCCGGCTGGTCAGTTCCCAGGAGGCACAGAGATGGGTGTGCTCCTGACTGTAAGGGGTGACCGCGAGTGGGAACAGACACTGAGGAGGGACTTGGAATTGGGGGAAGCAAGAGTCTCAAAGGCATCAGAGCAGATGGAGAGGAGACAGAGGCTAGAGGGGGAGATGAGAAGCATCTCCCGAGAGCCAACCTTCCAGGGAGACGCTGGGTGAAACACACAAGAGTAGGAAGAACATTCCCCACTCCCCAGTGAACCTGAAGTCCAGCCCTGGAGAGGGACAGTGATCGTGCAAAGTAGTATGCAGGCTCGGTGATGATAAACTCTATCGGCGTGTTGCAAAACGTAAAGAAAGGACTTTTACAGAGGCCGAGGGTCAAATTTAAGCTGTGAGTTCAGCTTAAATCCATGTAGAAAATGAAGGCTTCTCAGGCAGGGGAAGGACATGGACCCAGAGACATAAATGTGCATTGTGCATATACAGTAAGAGCAGTGAGAGAGAGAGAGAGAGAGAGAGGGAGGGAGGGAGAGAGAGAGAGAGGGAGGGAGGGAGAACGCACCAGTGAGTAGGGAAAACATTTTGAGATTTAAGGTCGGACCTGTAAGGGCTAACGTCTAACAGGTGGTACCACTGAGGTATCTACCACCCCTTGGTGACGGCATACTTTATAGATTCAGAGTGACTACTCATCTTGGAAGCTGAGTTTGCCAAAGGAAAAAAAAATAAAAAGGCAGGCCTATAACATCACACATTAAAATGAGCATCTCACTTGATTTAAGACGCCAGCCCTAATGGCGAATTGGGACAAGCATTGAAAGACATAAACATAAATGTTCCCAGGATGTTCTTTGAAGCAAGGGAAGATCGCCTTGTTTTTAGTTATAAAACAGCGGTTATCTTCATATAATTTTCGCACACACAGCCTGGATCTCTCCTTTTGCTTTATAATAAACGACTAGTTTCCTTTAAAGGAAGACACAGAGCGGGTTACCCACGAAGCCTGCGATCTCCCCCTGGCAGGAGGCCCCCCCCCCGCCGGGGATGCGGGCGTGCCCACCAGCACCCCCGGGCTCTCAGAGGTCCGATGTGCGCCTGCGCCGTGCGCCACCCGCCGCCCCGCCTCCCGGCACCTCCGCGGGAAGGACACGCCTGCGAATCCTCTGGCGTCCCTTCGATTCCTTACAGCTGCAAAAACCGCTGCACGGAAAGAGAGAACATTTCCTAGCCTGGGGATCCCCAGACACTTTCCCCAACCCAATACGTGAACAGCGCTTTGGCACCAGTGAATTATGCCCCACTCAGGGGCGTGGGGAGAGGAAAACGGCCCCCACGTGAGTGCGGCCTGAGCAAGCCTGGGCCCCGCGGCAGCTCCCGCTCAGTTTTCGGACTTCTCTGAAATCCGGGTCTGCCCTGACCTAGCTGTCCTGCTTTGCTGGCGGGTTACACTTAGGTGCAACGATTTCGTCTAAGGTCTGGGTCTGAGTTAGGGAAACAGCCCATGGCTCGCGTCTTATACACCAGCCCCAAACACTGGAGGGCTTCTCTTTCTCTGGTGCGTTCACAAAGCCCGGCCCATCTCCTCTCCTCGCCTCTCTCTGTCCCCGAGCTACCCGATGCGGGTGGGGTGGGGTCTGGTCAGGGCGGCCTGAGTCGGCAGTGGGGAATGCATTGGACACCGGACACCACCACGTGGCACCAGGACTCCCCAGCCATCACGTGACAGCACGGCACTGCCCGCTGGCCTCAGTCCTCAGAGGAGCAATGTGTCCCCCAGGTAGTGACTGCCCTGCCTTTGCTACAGGTGAAGGACCGGAAACTCGGCCAGCTGCCCCCCTCTCCCACAGCTAGGGGGCGGCAGAGCTGGGATGAGACCCAGCTTGGCGTCGGCCAACAAGTCGTCTGCCCTTTGCTTCCTGAAACCTCCCTACGGTTCGGTCTTTCCCGGAGATCCGCTGAGAACAAAACTGCCTTCCCAGTTGGCCCTGTTTGTTTTCTTTCTTTTGCCACTGGAGTGCTTAGAAGAAGAAGCTCAGGATCTACCAGACGACGGCCCCGCCTTCACTTGAAAACACACAAAGACGCATCTCTCGGCTGGGGCGTGAGACCCTCAGCAAGGCCGGCGACAGGTGGCGTTGTCCGGCTCTACGCTCCTGAGAATCGTCTTCGACACATTCCTGCCTCTTCCAGGACGGGGTGGCCGACCGTGGAGGGGTCCTCTGCCACTACGCCGTGCGCGCGGCGGACACGGGCGCATCCCCCTCCCCGCCCCATGCTCCCGCCTCAGTGCGCAAGGATCCCAGAGCATTCTCAGCAGCGCGCAAAGGGCGCACCAGGCCCCTCACGCAACCTAGCGCCCCCGCCGTGCTGCTGCGGCTGCCCGCGCCCCTTTCAGAGGCAGAAGGCGAGCATCTGCCTGGCCACCTAGCCGTTCCAATTCTCTCTGCTCATGTCAAAGCTGTTTCTCACGACTTCTGCCAAGGTGCTCATCATATTCCTGCTCGCAGGCCAGGGAGCCTAAGACAAAATAAATCACCAGAGGGAAAGAAAGAGAAATGTGGAAAAAAAAGAAAAGGACTAATCTCCGCAGGCCCGCTCTCCAATTTCTGTTTTCAACACATTCCTCTGAAATGGGATAACGACCAGCAGCGCGGACTGCTGGGGCCCTGGGAGGAGCAGCGTGGCCTTCCCGCTCTGCTGCAGGCAGACTGGGGCCCAGCCGAACCCTGCAGCTGGGGTAGGGGGGCTCCCGGGGAGGTCCTGCACCGGTTCCTCACGTAACCGGCAGAAGAAGCGGCAGCAGCCCACGGTGAGAGAGCGGGCACCGTGTGTGGGCTCGGGGTCGGGCTCACACACCTAGCTCCTCCTCGCACTGAACCTGCATGCGAGCTCCTCAAGGCAGCGTCCCTTGCTATCCCCACTTTCCGGATGAGAAAAGGAAGGTCGCGGAGCTGGGATGGCTGCTCAAGGCTGCAGAGAGAGCTGGGCTGGAGGCTCCGCCCTGGGAGACCATGCAGTTCTCCACCGCCGTGCTCGGCCGCCTCCCATCGGACCTTCAAGCGAAGGGCGTCAGGTTCCGCATAAAACCAGGTCTGCGGGTCCAGCTGCTGACCTCACTCCAACGTCTGACATTAAGATCTTTCCGTGGCAATAGACAAGAGGCGGGGTCGATGAAGGGGGGGGGGGCGTGCACAGGGAGGAGAAAGAAGGGGAACCAGAGGACTCAAAAATTATAGCAGGAAAATGGATTGGAGGAGCTAAACGTATGCGTCGCAGCCAAAGGGTTTGGCAGCCGCAGCTGCGTCTGGGGGTTTGTGATGACAGGGACAGCCCTTTTTCCACCCCGCTTTGAGCAGCCTTTATATAACGTTATCTTTTATGTCCAAAGATCAAATAAAAAAAGATCACATTTAATGAGAACTAGGGGAAATAAACTGGGGGCAATTAAAGAGTAAAAATAACTTCTCTGTGGGTTCAGACCGCAGGCGCTCGCTCAGGGCGAGAGGCGCAGGCAAATCACTCAAGGCCTCTCAGGCTGCGCTCAGCTCACGGGTCTGCCCACGCCCGCCGTGGAGGGAGTCGCAGACAGCCACCGCTCTTGAGGACGTGGGGCTCGGGGGTATGTGGAAGGGCGGCCAGGCCACACTCACCAGCTCGCCACCGTGACCTTGGAACGTGGAAGTCAAATCTAAGTCTCCTCTGTAAGCAGTTGCCTTGTGGGGGAGGGGGTTAGGCAGAGTTAGAAAACGTTATGGAATCTCTACTGTCAGTGAGAGACGTTCTCTGCTCTCCCCTCAAGCTCTGATCCCACCCTCCTCTGCCTCTGCACACGAACTCTCAAGTCGCGTCTAAGATCCAAGGGACCGTCACTTCGTGGCCATGGCCTTGTTTCCCACAAGCAGATCTGCTCTGGTCTAGACGAGATGGCAGACCTGACCTCTTCCTCAGACTTGGAATGACCGAGGTCACCCCAACACCCACGGGCAGCCAGGATGATTTGAGATTCCCACCTCTGCCCTGCACCACTACGGCTTAGACCAGAATTTGGGGAGCACTCATCCAGCTTAGAGTCGAGCTAACACCTGGTGAAATCCTGGGTGTCACCAGCTTCCCAGTGAACCTGCAGACACTCAAAGCCAGAAGCACCGATAGGGCACTGCTCTGAAACATTCCCTGAGGCTTCCTGATTTGGGATCTAATGTGGGGCTGACTCAAGATGAGATCACCTGCTCAACAGAAAGACACGGAAGTTTTACCCCGGACTCAGGAGCTCTTGTGTTGTGCACCGACCAAGAGACGAGACACACTGTGTTCCAAGGGTGAGCCGGTCCTCGGTCTGTACCCAATCCCGTCCCCCGGAACACCGCACCTACCGGTAGAAGGTCGCATAGTCCACCGTCGAGTGGCAGGGCTGAAACTCCCAGGACTTGAGTTTCTGGCACTCCCGGTGGGCTCGCAGCTTCACCCTCACCGCGCCCTGGCACAGCTCGGGCGCCGGCTTTCTCCGCGGTCTGTTGCAGAACTCATTGGACTCCACCCGCCAGGACTCGGCGAAGTCGTCCACGTCGAACTTGAAGTTTCCATCTCCACCGATCAGGTCATCGCGCTTATGTCCATTGTAGTTGCCACAGAGACCACAGAGTTTGCCCTTGAGATGGGGGGCGGCCATGACTTCCACAAAACTGTCTCCATCCCAGGATATTTCCAAACCTGGAGGGAAAGAAGGAGAGAAGGGGATCAACCACTCTTGAACCCACCAGGAATTCCCAAGTGTGTACATCCTTACCCAGCATGTGACTGTCTTCTAACAAGGAATACTAAGGGTCGGCCCGAATTCTTGGCCACCTTTCACGTGTGCCAGAGTCAATGTGTGAAATTACACGAATGTGTAAAGTGTGTAAAATTTGCCCTAATAATCATACCTCCTGCACCCTCGTTTGCCTTGTAAATAGACACTTATTGACCATCTTATTCTAGGGCGTATATTTTTGCACTTTTTGAGAGTAACCGTGTTGGTCCAAATCATGATTTCCTTTGTCCAGTGACTGATTACTCTGATGTGAAAATACAAAGATGACAAAGGTGGCAGTTTTTTACGTAATTTTTTCTTTATCTCAAAATCCCCCATATGATTCCCCCAAATGTCAAATGAAAAATGTCACAGTTTCTGCTGTAGTAGTGGCTGCATTAAGGAACAGATATATCGCTTCTGCATGCAGCGTCTTCAAAGCACAACCCTCACAGGAAAGAAAACGGCTTCAGCGTTGGAGGGTGTGGAGGCCTCCGGGTCCTGGGCAAAACGCCCCCCCCTCCCACCGTGCTGAGCAGAATCAGCAGTGCCGAACAGTCTCGTCTACCACGGAAACACCTTCACCCCAGAAGGCAGAGGATGGAAGTCCTTCTTGGTTTGCCCCACTGACCATCTAAAACACTGAATGGTTTTCCCGAGAATATCCGTATTCCTCTGAGGCTTCCAAGAGCCATGGCAACCAGTGACCTCAATGAACGGGGGCCTTTCCGCATCACGCGGAACATCCAGGTTATGCCGTCACAGGTGGGACTGCTCCAGGTCGCGCACGCAGATCAGTGTGACTCGAAGGTCAAGAAGAAATGCCCTCATACCCTTCCTGGCCTTGTGTGGGAAGACACTCGTCCATAAGAGAAAGGCCTTGATGAAAAGCCATTTGAGGTTCAAGTCAAAGTACGTGTCAAGTTCTTCTAGTCAAAGAGTTTTTCTTTGTCCCAAATGCGTGTTAGAAGTGTTTCTTATTGTTCTCCCGGTGACACTCTGACAGTGCCTGAGCCCCCAGTGTCCCCTGAATGGACGACCCGGCGCCCAGTGAATGCAAAAGAGCCACTTGGGACAGGGACACCCAGGGACATCTCCAGCGGGTCGGTGTGCATTTCTGCCCTAGGACTGCTCCGTAGTCACTGTCACTGTCTCCCAAGAGTGACAACCCACACACAAAAGGAAGCTCTTTTCCATAGGAAAAAAAAGTCTCCCCATGGGTGTTTTTTAACCTTACTCTCTTGGGTTTTTGGCAAAAACTAGTCTTTCCGGTTCTGAGCCTCTGGAAAGAACAACACGACTCTACTCCTGGAAGACTTTGCCTTTGTTCTTAAAGTACAGAAGTAGGCTGATGAGCAACTGTTCAGAAGATGCTCGGAAGGTGGGGGTAAGGCAGTGCTGGGAACGGAGAGGGAGAGAACGAGAAGGGGACGGATCTTGCCTGGATATAAAGTTGGCATAAGGCGACATCGGAGTGATGTGAGGTCAGCGAGAAATGCCCGGGAGTGGGATTCCAAAGCCGCTGTTCCCTAGGTTTGGACGTGGTCCAGGAGGAGCGGAGGCTGGCCAACTGGCGTTCCTGTGAGCAGGCCACACAACTGCCACCAGGAAGAGTTGGCAGATGAGCTTCAGGCAGAGCTATTGGTAGAATCAGCCAGTGGCCTAAAACTGGTTTTCTCCAGAAAAGCCCACAAGGAACTCACTGCTTGGTAAATTAAAGGAAGGGACACATTCTTAGGTCAAGACAACTGGTGGAGAAGCTTTCTTGGCTGGGATAAAAAACTGGGCTCAGAAAAGCAATGAAACAGAGTTGAGTAAAGAAGCAAGAAACACGGTCATAAGAGAGTGTCTCTTGGGTGTAATTTGACGAAGAGAAGCCAGCGATGAGACCAGGTGCTTAGAGGGAGGTCATAGCCAGAATGCGCACATGCCAAGCGGCCCCCCGTGTAGCTCTCTGTAAGGAGATGCTGTCAACTCTGACAACCACAGCTGTCATGTGAAATGCTTTCTATTTCTTCCTGCCCCATCACCTAACACATGATCTGGCATGTAGTATATATGCACTAAATGAATGCATTGCCCTGTAAATTGATACGTCACGCGAAGCCAAGGCAATTGTGAATTTCATGCTAGTTAAGGCATTGCAATAACAATTTTGAAAAGAGACAAGTGAACTACAATGTGATTTGTAATGTACTCTCTAAGGTATAGAAGAAACTTGACCTTCCAAGTCTGCAGCCAGGCAGCTGCCCAGCAAGAGCAATGAGAGGGAAAAGTCAGTTTCATCCACATTCTCTTAGGGCACTATTCCAAGACCTTTCTGTGCTGCAAAATCCTCCAAACTACAAGTCCCTTTCCCAGACAGCAGGCAAATGCTATTCTTCCAAATGCCACAATGGTTGAAGATTTCTATCCAAAACAGCCCCCGACATCATTACTGACAATGATATAATAAATCTAAGATTTGGGCTGCTGAATTCAGGGGAACTCAACTCATAGTGAGCAGGCCAATCATCGCCATCTTTCTTTGCAACGGGCTGGTGGTCCCCGCATGCTCGGGGAGGTGCAGCCCCACTGTGCTCTTAGCAAACTCTTCTTAAAACTTTGACATCTCATTCATGAAACAGGGTCCCCAAAGGTAATTCACCCTCTTTTCCTCCTTTGTTTATTATTATGATATTAAGAGGATTTTCATGGACCACTGCTAGGTTTCATATGTTGAAGGAATAAATTATTCAACTACAGATGCCTTTGTCTATTGCTGTATCATATATGTACATGTTTGCATGACTTTTTAAATCCTCTGCATGAGTGAAATCAATGAAGACTATAGCAGTGATAGGTAAAGAAAAACTAGTGAGCTGTAACTAAATAATTTACTCTTCCAAAAGATATTTAAACAGGCATCTGATGGCAGCGTGGGCTGGACTGAGTCCTCTCCACAGCTGGGGTGGGTTTCCCGCCGGTCTGAACGGGACCTTGGGTTGAAACCACCGGCGGAGTCAGAAGGCTCAAGTGAAGTTCAAGTCCCATCTGGGGAAGGGCAGCAGCCGTGCTCCTCCCACTTTTTGAGGGGCCTTCCAATTCTCCCTTCTCACCAGGGAGGGTTTTACAAAGTCGTTCTTCACCCTTCGGCTGTGTGACCTGGCCCCGGACCCCTGGTTTGGAGGATTTTCTTGGGGGGAGGGAGGAGAAATTGTTCCTTTCCTTGTTCATTGTTTTTGTTTGTTCTGCTCTGTTTTGTTTGGGGGTTGTCACTGTCGCTTCTGTTTTCCGCCGAAAGGAGAGAAGGGGCAAAGTCCACACGCATACCTCGGAGATGCTTAAAAATGGATGGTTTTCTGTTCAGAGTTTGCATCAAAGAAAAAAAAAGGAAAAAAAGACACATATTCTCCAGGTTCATCAGGTGTAGAACTCCTGACGAACCTGGAAGAAAGGAAGATAAAAAGCCACACTCACATGTGTTAATGCCTTTCAGGTGGAGCTGATGTAACTTTTCAGGTGGCTCTGATGAAGCGAACAGATGGCGGAAAGACAATGCGTTTGAATTATTCACCGAGTGCCGGGGTGGGGTGGGGTGTTTCGGGGTGGGCAGGGCTTCCCAGCTGCTAAGCTTCGCTCCGTGCCTTCTGTGCTACCCCAGGTGTGACCAGCTCAGCAGCTACCTCCTGATTCCGCCCTGGTGACAGGCCCCCTGTGCCCCCTGTGGCCCCTGCAGGCGATTCCATCGTGAAGTGCGAGCCCACGGACCCCAGGGGCAAAGCCATTCCTCGCCACTTCCCACCCACCAGCTACAGGCTCGATCTCAGCAGTTATTCTGGAGAAAGCACCCTTTGATCATATGAGCTTACAAAATAAAAAAAGAAAAAAGAAAAAACCTATGGAAGAAGAACCCTCCAAGACTTTTAAATACAGTCGGTGGGTGATAACAAGAAACTATCCCTAGGGGGCAGTGCCACCTGGGGTTGGGGGACCAGAGTGGAGATGACTATTGTCTGGAAATGCAACTGCTCCATTCGAAGGACAGTGTCCAAGCACGGCTGGTGCCCAGAGGAATGCGGTCCTTCCCTGGGAAGCTGAGCCGTGCGTGCCCCATGGCTCCAGGAAGTTGCGCCACTGAGCATCCAGGGAGCCGCGTAAATTGCTTGAGTCGTCAGAAGGGAGATGGAAAAGCAAATGAGGTTGTGAAACGAAGTTCAAGGCCTGGAAGTGTTAAACTCACTACTCTGCTTGTGGTACGTATGATGTGTCATCATTTCCTTAGCAGCCTCGTCCCGCCGCCCGTTTTTACAGGTGGAATCCTGACGAAGAGTATGCTCATCCCATTAGGTGCAGCCGGCTGTGAGAGGAAGGGGGAGGGACCCCCCTAGTCTGTTACCAATCTTTGAGCATCCAGGACCCCTCTGAGAATGGGGCTGTGGTTGACTAATAGTTTCCGTATCGGCGGAATCCACTGTGTCCAGCTGGCTTGACAGCAGGCGGGCAAGGGGCTTCTGATTAGTGCCGTGTGAGAACGCCTCATCTTAGGCACATTCTACGGGAGCCGTGACCTGTTGCCTCCTTTAAGGAATCGGCTGAGGCCTGTCTCTGCCAAGTGGCCCGTCGGGTGGATGCGACAACAGGTGTCTACATTTTCTGAACAGGACTAATCCCTCTGAAGCCGAACGATCAGAGCTCTTCACACCTGCCGCACTCAAAGTCCGGAGTGGGGACGTTTCTCCCATTGTTGAGTGTTGCAAGATGTCAACGTTCAACATCCTGTTCCTGAAAGCATGCTACCCTTGCTGATGAGAGCTCCCCAGACCTCTCCTTTCTCCTTGGCTTCCTGCCTTGTTTAGCTAAGCTGGCATTCCATAGGCTAACTCAATTCATCAAGTATGTATTTGGCTTGAATTGAAACAATTCACAGGGTTTGGGAGGTGTGGGGCAAACGGTCTCTATATCCCCTCAAAAGTGTCTGCTCGATCACACGCTTCCCTTTTGGAGCCACGTTGCCCGGAGGAACTGGATGCCATTCGATGTTTTTACATCGTTGAGTTCTCATCGATGCAAGAAGCAAGACATACGTGGATTTCCTCAAGTGCCACCCTTAAAGAAATAGCACCGAGCAGGAAATCACACGGTCCAAAAACCAATTAACAGCACGCACTAACCACAGGAAGCATGAAAGGACCCATGCCTGACAATGAAACGTGTAAATGAGCTGAATCCACACTTTGGGGCTGATATGGAAGAACTGAGTCCTGCTTCCAAGATGCCTCTCTTAGGTAGCACCTCACAGGCAAAAACCTGTGCCTCACCGAGCCCCAGGAATAACCTGCCAACCTCGACTGGTGTGGCTGCTGGAGGAGGCAGCTGCCCAGGGAGTAGGAAGCCGGCCTCGGGCAGCATGCGCTTCTGAGAAAGGGCCTCAGGAGACAGCCACGTGTGCCCAAGGCCCGCGGAAGGGCTCAGAGCAAGCGTCCCAAGGGTCCTCCAGCGGCTGCCGGTGGTTGCAGCCACCAGCTCAGCCAGCACCCTTCCCAGGGTCAAGAACAGACAACGCTGCAGGTCACACGGTCCACTCTCTGCACTCCCGTCTACATGCCCACACACGCTTGTGGTTTACTTTGGAGGAATGCCCCCCCCCCCCTTGGACGGAGGCTGACAAGGAAATGCTCCCACAGATGTGAAGCTGCACATCACTGGCCGAGTCGGGAGAGACACTGACACTTCCAAGCGGGCCACCACTGGCCTAAAATGAGCCACAAAGCACGAGAGAGAGGTTACAGTGGAGAGCCCCGCTGCTGTTTTTGGAAGGAGGATGGAGGATGGAAGGCCCCGCGTGTTGGAGGGCAAGACTGGCGGGACTGGCGTGGGAGGGCAAGGCGGAGTGTGCAAACTTGTCCAGCTTTGTGCGGGCATCTTCAAGACCTCCCGCCTGCGGCTGGGACCCTTCTCCGTCTCCGGGTTTCCCTACATGGTGGAGGAGGGACGGAGGAGGAGGGCCGCGGCCCACGTCACTCAGCGCTGCTGCCGTGCGGGTGGGCGAGGCGGAGGGATACGGACACCCCGTGCTGCTGGCAGCCCACCTGCTTTGGTCGTCACTTTCAGGAGGTAGCCGTCCAGGTCCACGTGAAAGTGCGGCGCCCGCCAGGGCAGCGCGATGCGCGAGCCGTTCCAGCGCACAGTCAGGTGCTGCTGGAGGCTGACGGTGCCGGCGCCCAGCACCAGCTCCACCGACTTGGTCCAGGAGAAGGAGCGGGTCCGGCGCGCGTCGTTCTTCACCAGCACCTGAAAGGGCGAGGCAGGGGAGGAGCAGTCTTTCGTCAAAACGTACTGACACGTCCCCTGAAAGTTAAATGTCCGTCCGTCAAAAGTGTTGTAGTGGGGATCTCCGAAAACCGTGCAGACGCCGGGCTCTGCGGATGAGTGAGAGACAAAAGCAAGGTCACAAACCGAGCGAAGGATCGAAGGACAAATCGGGGGTCCCTGCCCGTACGCCTGGAAGGGGCACCCGCCGGGGAGGGGAGGGCCTTACAGAGATGCACCGGGCAGAGCCGAGTTACCCCCCCCCCCCAAAAAAAAAGTGTGGTTGGTGGTTTTACAAGTCTGTGCCAAACCCCATAGGACACGTAATGTTTCTGGTGCTTCTACACGTAAAAGTTACAGATCACACGCCGGAGTCGGCATCTCTGTGTGGGAGCCTTGATATATTTCTGGGGTCTTAAGTAAGGGATGGAGAGGTGGGGCTAAGACAATTTTGTACACAGGACTGGCCTCACTTCATAACCCATATAAACAGGAATGAAACATAATAAGCAGCAGCAACATAAATGACAATACATCAAAACATACTGCTATTTCCATTTAACTAATTCAAAAAAAAATTGAAAACATGGTATTCTACATGCTACTCGTGGTTTTAAACAAAAGTATTATATTCAACACATATATTTACTAAAGACAAATGGATAGAATTACCAGACAGATACATATTTATTACTGCTAGGAACCAAGGACTGGTAAAGATAATAGTCTCTATGTGTTTTATAGAAATACAAGGTTCCTGTATTTTCATCCAGACATCAAAAGCTAAAGTTGGATTAAAAGAATAAATCATAAAACCCATCATTTAGTAAATTTAACAAATTCCAATGAGTTCATCATGTCAAGATATCTTTAATTCAAATACTTATGAGCTCCAAGTAGAGTTTCACACTTTGGGGTACCTTGAAGATGTTTTTATAGAAAATTACATATTATTTATTTTTTATAACAACATCTGGCATTGATCTGTTCTCCATGTAAAGGTACTTCATCTGTTTTAAAGGTGGCATGAACGACCAGGAAGTGAGGAATTTACTTGGAGAAATTAGCTCAAACGATGAAAAGGTCTGTGACAAAAAGTGTCGAAGCCTGTCAACACCACGACAGGGGGACACTCTGAGAACATCGCACACGCAATTGCTCTGAATTCGGGAGGAGTTCAGGGTCCAGACAGAGCGGGGAGGGGTCCGCAGATCTGATCCGACCCATGGGACCCACAGTGAGTGTCTGCTCTTCGTGTCTCCCCTGTGTGGAGAGCAGCATTGCTCTATGTTGTGACACGTGATGCTGTTTCAAACACCGGTTCGGTGTCGCTCCATATAGATCGTGTGTACCTGGAACTCAACAGGTTATGTTCTAGGCTAACTCTCCTCATCCGTATTTGACAGACGCTCAGGAAGAGGGTTTGGGGCATGCACTGTATACCTTCGACGAAGGGATGTGTTAACGAGCATAGGAAAGGCACTCCTGGGGCAGGGGAGTGCAAGAAGTGGGCAGGGGAGGGGAGCTCCGAAAGGTCAGTAGCTCCATTTGCATTCACCTTCTGCTCCTGTTTCTTTCTTTTCCTTTCTGGGTGGTTTTCTCCTTTGGACTCTATTTTTACACAGTTTGTCGCTCCACCTTTACCGTACCCCGCCTCTCCGATCCAGCTAAGGTTCTCGCCGGTCTAATCACCCCACCCAGCATTGTTGTCAGTGCTCTCCCCCTGTGATTACTTTAGAAATTGTCTTATCACACATTTCCCTCCCGTGCTGACAGAGAGAATCTCTCCCTGGCATAGAAGTGGTGCTCTCTGGTTACCAGGGAACAGGGGAGTTCTTGGAGACTGCCCGAGGGACATGAGGAGAACTATAATTCCGAGTTGCTAACTGCCGAGTGCCACAAAAGGGCCCGACCACCCGGTGCACCAAATTCAGGCGAAGGGCTGCTTTCGGGTTCTCAACTCCATAGGCTCAGCAAGAAAACGTGGGGCCCATCCAGCCTTTCGAGATCTGGGGCTCGTAACAACCGATGGCTCTCAGCTTGAAAGGGGCAGCGCACTTGTGAAGGCTTTGGGGCTGTGCCCCGGGAGAAGTCCTCTCTCGGCTGTGAGCAGGCCCTGGGAGCGCTCAGGTCCTCTGACCAGGGTCTGCAGTGACAGCTTCTCTTGAGCCGGGGACAACCACAACCACGGCTTCTCCTGGTGTTCAGACAATCGCACCAAAACGGTCCCTTACAAAGGCAGCGACAGCTGACATTCGCGGAGAATCCAGCACATACCCTATGTCTCTATGCCTACTGATCACGGCTACATGACAGGAAAAGCAGATGTTTAGATTGTCTCCTAACATTAAACAAACAGCAGAGCACTTGGTAGCAAACCCGTAACATGAATTATTATCCAGTCGTTGAAAAAGCTTATGAATCATGTTCATGATTGAGGAAATGCTTATCACGTGTTAAGTGGAATATGGGAAAGAAAAAAAAATTCTATCTGAACTGTCTTCAAATAAATACAGAAACACACACACACCAAAATTGTAAACTGTGGTTATTTCTTGGTGGCAGAATCATGAGTGATACTTTTTCTTTCTTCCTTATGCTTTTCCTATGTTTTTGTTATTTTGTGTAGAGAGTCAAAGCGTGGGTACTTGTAGTGAAGGCCAATTATGTGACAAAGCAAATCCTCAAAGAGGCAATAGAAAATATATTGTCTGCAGTGGCCCCGGGGGAAGCTGAGCTGACTCATAGCCAGGCAAAGAGCTGTGAGGACGTCCGGGAGAGCAGGCGAGGGAAGTTATGTGTGAACAGGGCTGTCAGGAGAGAGATGTTTCAAGAGGCCCTGACTTGGGGGAGAGAAGGATTTGGAGGCCAGGATGATGTTTCTGTGTAACAGCTAGATTCATGAGGCCAACAAAACTTCATGACTGCAAAGATGCCGGAGAGTTATGTGTTGCATTTGGGGACATTTGTATCATGAGCTAGAATGATTCTGAAACCTTGGCCCTTCCTCCTGGCACCTCCAGGCCCCTGTGCCAGAGCCTGCAGGGGTGGCAAACTCGTACCCGAACGAGGGGCTGAAAGTGAGAACCTCGGGGTCGCGCGAACCTGCCCAGCCAGCCAAAAAGGAATGAGGCTGGGGAAACACGCAGGGGACACAAACCAACACTGTATTCGCAGAGAGTTTCCTTCCAGCGGACGCAGTGAAATGAGCTGCAATCCAACGTGTCCAGATGTCTGGTCCCACTCTTCTGGAAGGCTCGGAGTGAGGCTGGCGCTAAGGACACGGGTCATTCTACAAATGACCTTGAATACGTGTAAGTCAGAGGATGGACGGAAAAATGCGAGTGTGCCCTTGGGGGCACTTTTTTCATAGTCCTGTGAGTCAGGTTATCAGATGTCATTTTCATTTTGGTTTGTTTTCAATATATGTATACAAAGGTCTAGGCAAAGGGGAAAAAAGATTAGAAGTATATAAACCCAAATACAAAGAGTGTTGTCTTCTTTTTTTTCCTCTCGGGCCATGGAATTGTGGGTGACATTTATTTTCCTTTCTTGTGTATGTGTATTTACTTTATTTTTTACATTCACATTTATTATTTACAATGACTATGTATACTTTTGGAGTAAGAATATTTGCTTTAAAAATTAAAAATATTGGATTAAAACATATGGCTTTGATCTTACATACTTTAATAAGATCGCTATGAGAATTAAGAGAGACAGGCTGCTTCTGAAAACATAATTCCAATGCTTTTCTCTTAACCTCATTAAGTACATTTATTTCTGCCATGGGTATATTTATTCTAATGAAATGCCTTCCGTCTGAGAGCAGTGACTTATTCTCAAAACATCCGTCAAAGAAAATTAAGGGGAAATTATACAACTCTGTGTTATGAAGAAGAAAATAAGAGAAACTGGGTGGACCGTAAACCCCTTCCTCCGAAACACAACGAAACAAAAACAGAAAAGCATGAGGAAGGAAAAAAAGTATCACTCACGGTTCTGCCACCAAGAAATAACCCCAGTTTACAATTGTGGGGTGGGGTGTGTTTGTGTGTTTTAACGCAGTTACGATTATCCTGTACATGAAATTTCATTTCCTCTTCACGTAATAGGTCACAAGCTTTCCCCTGTCACTAAAATCACTTTGAAGACATAGACAGTGGCCTTCACCCTGTGTCTGTTGTGTCTGCAAAGAGACAGTTCCCTCCAGCTCATCACACCACGCACCACGCACATCGGAACGGAGCAGCGTTCCAACCACGAGAAAGTCTACCCAGTAAAACACAGGCTCTGCACTTCTCCCAGCGCACACTGCAGGGAGACAGGTCCCGCTGCGCTCCAGGGTCCCGGCGTCTCTCGGGGGCTCCTGGGCGCCCCCGGGGGGTAAGAGCCATCCTGATCATGTCAAGTTCAGGCCAGGAACCAGGAAAGGCCGGGGTCAGAAGCACTGCTATGAACTGGAGCCCCTGTGGTATTGGCCTAGGCGCCTCCCGAAAGCGATGTGAGCCGCTGATATGAACAGGCTGCGTGTGACCAGAACTTCTCCACGCGGGAGGTGGCCCGGACAGCTGTTGCTCCCAGGGGGCCCCAGGGCCTGCCAAAAGGGGCACCGGGATTCCTATAGGATTTTACATCCTTGGCTTCTCAAATCAAGAACGTAACCTAACTTCACTGTGTGAATGTGGGGGGGAGGGGACAGTGGGTCTCTTTGCACCAATCTCTAATCCCCAGTTACAAATTGACACGAAGAAACTCATTTCTAAGGAAGCTGAGTAGGCACCTGAAGCTAATATTTTTTTAAAAAAACAACTTCAGTAGGGATATTGTTAAGAATGCACATTTCTTTTTACCTAGTTTCTATAACCCCGTAATCTCACCAACTTCAAACAGAAGAGCAAAGGAAACCATCCCACCTTCAAGATCTGATCTGAAGTAAATCCAACCCTAAAGCCATGGCTGACGTCCCACGGCCTCCCGGCTGAGCCCCCTGCTTCCCCACCGCTCACTCCACCCCTGCGTGGCCTGCGCCCGCCCCACCCGTGACCCCTCCCAGCACAGCGGCCCCTCAGCTCCCGATTCCGTACCAGCACCTTCAGGGACGCCTCCT